CCATGTATCTCTGACAGTGGTGGAATTTTTTTCTTGTTGTATCATTTAATTGGCTTTCGTCTGTGTATACTAAAGTAGCATTTGCCTTTTCTTTGTAATATTCAGCTCTGGGTGACAGTAGATACTGGTAAATTCTCTACTATCCAATAACTTGAAAAATAACTGCATTTCAGCCACATTAATTTAAATTTCATATAAACAACCCAAAACATTTAGAATCACTACAGTGGGAACACAACTTAGGAAATATTGTTGGCAGGTTAGAGAAAGACATAATGGTATTTCCTCCTATTTGCGTTCCAACAAATTATTGCTTTCACCTTTAATAACATATCCATCTGGATTTCTACACAAAATTCAAATGACTGGAGGTCACATTTCAGGTAAGCTTCAGACTTATTTTTTCCATTCAGAATTCACTGCAAAACCATATACTGTATCTACTACATTTAAGGGAAGAGTGATTTTAGCTCATTAAAAGTAATGCAAACCATTTTCAAAAGTGATTGTCAACTTTCCCAGCGCGCGCACACACACACACACACGGTTACCTTCTTGACGGAATGATTAACTACTTTTGCTGTACTTTTCAAGACATTAAATACATGTTTTGAGAGTTTAGGGGAGAAATCGGGGAGCCAGAAGAGTAAACCTGTCAGAACAACACATGTACAATTCCAAGTACATTTAAAGGGTGTTTTCCTCCTTTTTCTGGAAAATGAATCATTAAGCAAAATAATTAGTTTTTAAAATAATTTTACTGTGACTTTTCATTACATACAGCCATCTATTTCCTTTTTTAATGTGCTAAAGTTCAATTTTCTATGAGCAGTTTTGTTTCTTAAATCAAGGTACATTTGCACTGCCTCTTGAGAAAGGGATACATATACAGACAGACACACACACACAGACACACAGACAGAATTTGTGGTTTGTGATCAGATGGATCCTTAACCTATCATTTAGCATTGTGTTTCAGTAGTAATTAAAAATGCCCAGTAAACTATGTATAGTCATTTATAGACATAAAAGTTGAGTTTTTTTTAATTTTTATTCATTGTTGCAGAAATAAAAAACAAAAAATCTTGTGAAAAATGCTTAAATTATCTTTTGTAATTTCAGCCTATTAAACTATTTTCTAAAGTAGCCAAGCTATATTAAAATACAAAATTAAAACCCATTCTAACCTAACTAAAAAAATGTCTAAATGAGAGACATTTAAACAGATTAAACGGAGGCAGCAGTTCTTAATTTAGTAACATTAAATTCTACTTTATAAACACAAAGATGTGAAAAGAAAAATCTCTGTCAGCCAAAAACAAAAGTAACTCTTTGGTACAGGAATTAAAAATGTCACTCAATGCTAAGGTCAATAGCACCAGGATGCTTTAGTTGTTGAGGTTGTAAAACACTCTTCAGGCACCATAGGTTAAAATATCTCCCATGCATATTGGCAAGGACACAGAGCTTGCAATACGCAGACATGCTTTTCCTTTAGTTAACAGCCTACAATTAAACCCTGTATTTATCAATCAGGTAGACAAAGCCACAAAAAGAAGCACACCTTTTGTTGCTGCTGTTTCCTCTGAATCTTTGTTTATATAAAGCTATCAATACCAAAAAGATCAGAGAGTTGAACAACTGTGGTAAGCACGACACTGTATGTTACAGGTATTCAAAATACCAAGAAAAATGGAGCCCTCCACAGTATCAAAAACTCCAAAACACCCTAACTGTTAAAATGAAAACCAGCCTTTATATTTCAATTGCTGATACCTCCTCTGGTAACAAAACTTCCAAAAAACACTTAATATCCTTTCTTTGCAATAAGAGACTCAGTAGAAAAGGCCCCAGTTTTCCTAAACTTTGGGCAACCTATTCATTTCTCCTCAGCCTTAAATAATGACATTTTTTACACTAATCTTAACACCTCAAGACAACATGGTACTGCACTGCACAATTATGATATTTAAATTTCAAATAATTTCTTAATGGCATCTGAACAGCTAAAGAGAATCAGCAATATAAATTTCTTAGATTAAATAACTCAAACTAAATTCTTACATGCATTAACAACTCTTAGAGTAAAACGGTACCAACAAGAGACAAAGTTAGAATGATGACAGCAAGCATGTTCTCTGCCACAGAACTGCTTCAATCAACTCTGTTGCGGAGATGGCTGATGGTTTAGGCTCCCTCCAGCCTTCTCTCCAACTTCATAAAGCACCCAACTCTCTATCCAATATTTTGGCTACTCACTAATCACTTGTACCTGTCCTATATGGTGGATAAGGGCTAAGGGATATTACAAATTATAACAGTAAAAAAGATAATGGTAATGAAAAACATCAGTAATACCAATTATTTAAAAATTTTAAGTACCATTGTTATTTTTGTCTCAAATTAGCACTAGTGGGCAGTATGACAACATTTGAAGAACGAATATGTGGTGAACGTTGTTGATAAAAGTCACACAATGATAATTTAAAAAGTCAGAAAAGTCAACCTTCCTAAAGTTAAATAAATCATCATCATATCAAAGATAGCAGAAAAGCTAAATATTGGTTAGTGTATAGAATAACAACACTGGCTCAAAATGTTTTAAGCAAGTAGGTTCTACTACTACTCTCAGGTTCTACTGTAGAGTATCCAAGAATTTAATTGAGGATGGCTAAATACAGATCATAGTGAAATTTGCAATTTTAGATATGTTCAGAGGATGAGTCCTAGGATGGAAGGTAACAAACATGGCCATTAAATAATTTACTCATTGACTCGTTAATTATATACTAGCAAGTAGAACAGACCAAATGTAAGTAACTTACTAACTACACTTGCCAATACTTATATTTTTAAAAGCAACAGTAGTAGAATCAGATGAAAATCTAATACTTGTCCCTACTAGAAAACTACTTAATATTTGTAAGTGTAAGCTTTACCAAATAAATTCTAGCTTTATCTACGTGTATTAGAAGCCACGCCAAAAACCTACTTAACAAAGCAATTACAGTTGTAAACCTGAGCTAGGTTATCTACAGACACATGAAGCACGAGAGAAGCAGTCACAGACTAGCAGCTCTGTTAATGAAAATTAATGTCATACTAAACCATAGCTGGACACATTGTAACTTTATAGCAACAAATGTCAGAACACTCAAATTGCCCCATGATCTAACACAGAAAATCACGTGACCATATTCTAAATCAGTTCACACTTCCTTGTTCGAAGTGTTGTCCCAACTTAAATCTTCATGATCAGCATTCGGAGTTAATACATCTGAGTAAGAAATCTCCAACTAGTTATTTTTACGTAAGTGGCTTGACAGTCTAATAAAGAATAGTTACAATCAGCCACCACTGTTAAGGAAAAATACCTCTATGCCTTAGCAAAAATACACAAATGGTAATGTTTACAAAAGTTTTAATTCAGTTGTTATACTGAGCTTTATATATATGCTTATTATGTACTCTACTTCATGCTATTGTAAATTAAGTGTACTTGAGATTAATGTTACCTATAATTTTAAATGGTTATTAATCACAAATATTTTAATACAATTCTTAAGCAAAAAAGTATTTATATCATAATGGAACACCAGCTAACTTAATATTTTTAAACTACATTTGGGTTACAAAGCACCAATGGCTCTTAAACTGAAAGCCAAGCTCTGATCTCAGTTCATCTTTGTCTGCAATCCTGCACCAATACTGTGCCCATAAACATTGTTGGAAGAAAACAACAAATATGCTTATTCAGAGACTGTAATCTATGGTATCTAGGCAAAAACCTTTCCTATGTAGAAATTCAATTAATTATTTTCTTGATGCAAAGGTATCTTTTTACAGATATTTTGCCTAAAATTAAATGGATTTTTAGAAATAAATACTTCCATTCAATAAATAGATTGCAACAGTAATTTCACTGCTCATGATTTTTTTCTAATGCTCAACATCTTAATTTATTTTCATGGCTATCCAGAATATGAAATAAACCGACTATCTCTAAAGCTATAGATAAATTCTGACAGAAAGTTTAAAAAGAGCAAAGAAAAGTATATCAATATTAATCTCGGATTACTTTCGAGGCAATAGTCAGTTAAAAAATCATTCCAGAATCGAAATTTAAAAAACCTAAATGTATTTTTTAGATATTCAGTAAAACATATTAGATACTTGGTTGCCAATGTGTAACTATAGTAATTTCTATGCTTTATAATAAAGTGGTAACTTGAGAGTAACAGCTTTTCTAATCTTAAGGAATTAAGATTATTACTTAAACTAATGTTTAAAAAATGTATGAAATGGCTTATATTGGCTTATACTGATCTGACATGCTTGTGATTCATAGCAAAAAGTATAATGACATACTAAGTGAAGCAAATAACCACATTCTTATGAATTATAAATATCATAAATAGTAACATGTTCATCTTCATAAAATTTTCCATATTTTGTACATATCCTTCTCCTAAGTTTGTACCTCTGATATGTTCAGAATTTGGCTCTGCAATTTACTTATGGGGTAGTGAATCTCAAGAGCCAGTATAATTACACCAATTAGCCAAAAGAGGGCGCAGAAAGAACACCAGACTTTATGTAATGCCTAGGAAACTGCCATTGGGTTTCTCTCCAGTCCTCTCAAGAATTACAAAACCCACGGCAGGGTTAGGTGTGCTAACTTGAGAATACTGTAAATCACAATATAAGTATATATCAATATACTTTAACATAAACTCTTATGTAAATATACTGATATGTTGCATTTCTGCCATTCAGACAAGATAAGCATATGCTTGTCTAGTGCCTTACTTTGCAGCCCAATTACAGGGACCGGGTACAGATGGATTAGGATGAGGAAGGATAAAAAGAAAGAAGGGAAGAAACTGTGTCCTAGAAGCCTCAGAGTGGGAAAGACCTCCCCAGTGCCTTTGAACACAGATACTGCTACTACGTGAAGTATAAACATGTCCATAAAGCTCTTGAGGCGTCTTCACATGCTCTGCTGTGTTCTCAACGTCTTTATTCAAAACGAAGGTATACAACATCAGGCATTCAACTAATAACCGACCTACCTTATCTATACATTACTTCCTTTTAACAGTTCTGTCACAAGGCCAAATTTGGTCACCCTGTACAAAATTCAACCCATTCTCTAGACACAAACACAATAATTTGTGTTTATGTTTTATAAATATATTTCTTATATTAAATTTACTATGCACCAATAAATACTTTCATCTGCCCCTTCTAAGGTTTTAAGCAATAAAGCACTATAATAATAACATGAAAAGCATGGTATTAGTATCTGAGAAGAGCGTACACTATTATTTCAGAATATTTTCAATGATATTTACAATTTCTGAGAGAACTAACCACAGTATAGATAATTGCTGAAAATGGTAACCTTTCATTATTTCTCAGGGATGATTCTTTAATTTCAAAACTCACTAAAAGGGAAATATGAATACAGGAGATTCTTTCAATTTTCTCTTCAAGGAAGACTGTGAGTACATAAATGTTTAAAAAAGATATATGACATTTTGCAGTATTCTCATGGAAAAAAATTGAAAGCTGAATTTTTTTTCAAAGCATACTGAATGTGTTTTCACACATATGTTCTATGCTTTTCAAGAGATCATCACTATTAGCAATTTAAATTTATGCAAGTCTAATGATAAATACAGATAATATTTTCTTATTTTAAGGTCATTTTATAATAGTACCTTCCAACAAAAGGTCTCTCAACACAAATTCTTGCTGGCCAATTAAAATTTCATTTAAGTTCAGTGACTATAGTATACAAATGTTAGCAACTTATGAATAACTTCCTATAAATAAAATTTCAACAAACTGACCAATATCTATTATTTATAAACCTTCAATGTATAATTTTAGATTTACCAGTAGATTAATAAAAGTAAAAAGTATGTTTTTTCAGAAGCACAATATTCCTCCTCTTCATATTGTACATTATATATTATCTAGTTTTACTAGCATTTAGAAAAATTATGCCTTCTAATATAACTACACTAGAAAAAGTAACTGTCAAATTATTGCAAATTTTCTAGACTTTTTGCTCATTAAAATCTTAGGGTAAACTAGGAATACCATCCCACTGTTCACAAATTTCTTCTGGGAACAGATATTTTAACAACAATCAATAATTACCACAATAAGGAGAAAAGAAGTGAGAAAATTAATGTGAAAAAAATTTAATCTTTATAATAAGGTAGGTAGTTGGTGTTTTATATTAGTCATATTTTTATTTTGGTTCTGGTAAAGGAAAAAATGAGAAAACAGTACAAGGCTCTCCCTGCTGTTGTTCACTCCTATGCTACAGTTTTTGCAGCACATAGAAGAGGAAGTATTAAGTATTTTATGCTGCATTTGAAAAAAGAAAATTTACATCTACTGTAAGGAGGTATATCAACATTTGTAAAATACAAAGAATTCAATCCAGATCTGTTAGTACTACTTAAAAATGAAGATTTTAAATTAACATCTGAGATTTTCTTTAAATTAAAATCTGTAACATTGTCAGTACCAAAAGAAATTATGTACAATTATTTCATCCAAATCACTGCCTTTTGAGTTTACTAACAAAAGCATTTAAAGAAATCCCCGTGGAAAGCTAATCTGAAAGTAAACATGCTTTAAAACTTAAATATAGATCTTGCATTAGTCCCACAACAGGATCAAGATCACTATTAAAATAAAGCCTGGGGCACATTATGATGCCTAAGATTGGTGGGTGGATTTTAATTGACTTGAAGACTGTCATAGTTCTATTATCATAAAACCTGTAACGCATTTCCAGCATGGAGGACCCATCTGTGCCCACCATCCATCTGTTTAGACATGATTGGCAAAGTGGTAGGGAACTCGCAGTGGTTGCCTCTGCCTGAAAGGAATGAACCACAGGATCTTCCAACGAGTGCCAAAAACTTCTGAGAAGGTCTGCTGCCATGGCTTTCGGGGCCTCGATCTACAGAAGACAGCATTATTAGTGAAAGACAGCACTCCCATGGTGCACTTCAGTCAGCTAAAACAATACAGGTTGGCTGGGGATCCATTACTGGACTCTGATGAATTGTGTCCCAGCATCACAAATACAGCTTTTCTTTCATTATGGCATGCAGCTGAGTTTCAACTCTGGGATAGCAGATATTGTAGCTGTGTCGTCAATCAACCTAGGGCAACTTTTGAAGCAGAGGAAAGTCTCAGGATTAACAGAATGTGTGTCAACAACACAGTAGCAAATCTCTTTTGATGTACTCTGAGGACAAATAATTTAACTTACTTTAGACAAGGAACAAGAAAGATCAGTATTTATTTTGTTGGAAAACTATCATGGCTGGAAGACCCCTACTGCAGGACTAGGGTATGCTTATCTAGCTCACGCCTCAGACAAGGCACCAAGAAAAAGCCATTATTTTATTATCATTCTACTATAGGCACACATTTCCCAAATGTGGCCAGCATTTCAAATTTTAAATATATACTACTTTCATACTTACATTTCTTCACAACAGTTTGACATCTTTTCAATCGATGTTGTATCCTATTAAAAATAAAAAATTATACTCAGATGTAAGTTATCAAATCTTATTTGACACTTTATAATTTTATAATCCTATTCAGAGAATATTATGAAGATGTAAGCAGTTCATATTTGAATGCTAACAATTTTACAGGATCTATATACACTGCTGGAATTCCCTTGGAAAAAGAAACATTATGCCAAAAATATTTGAAGATAAAACCTCACAAAAATTTTGGAGTACTATTTCACTAAAATATAAACTTTTGTTATACCTGCTTTCCATTTAATTATTTTTAAAAACCTAGCACCTATTTTCAATTCAATCATCAAGGAGTATGCATTAAAAATAACAAAAAATGACAAATGAAAGACACTAATGAAAAAAAATGCCAAGAGTCAAAGAGAGTTGGATTTCTGTAAACAACAACAAAACTCAACAAGGCAATCTATGAACTGCCATATTATAACAGCTATTGCTCTGAGAACTAAAGGTAATTGATATGGTGTTCTTTGGTAAAAATTATTTCCCCAAAGAAAAAAATTACTCTTTTATTTTAATAGTATTTATTGTGCATATTATATAAAGTTATAATACAAGTATACAAGAAAACAATTCAACAAAAAGAAGACAAGTTCTAGATACACTGGTTTAATTCATATTAACAGAAGATGTATCATTAGATTGACTAATTATAATATCCAAATAAAACACTAATTATATAACAAGGTTATTAGATATTTATATTTTAAATCTTTTGAAGCATTACAAAATATATTCCTTCAAATATACGAAAAAAAAAGCTAGACATTTTCCTCCTCTAATTCCTTTACCTTAAAACCTCATTCAAACAAAGTAGAAGGTGGACTGTGTTTTATATATATATATATATATATATATATATATATATATATATATATATTTTTGACAGGCAGATTTAGACAGTGAGAGAGAGAGAGAGAAAGACAGAGAGAAAGGTCTTCCTTCTGTTGGTTCACCCCCTAAATGGCTGCTACGGCGGGCGCGCTTTGCTGATCCAAAGCCAGGAGCCAGGTGCTTCCTCCTGTTCTCCCATTCGGGTGCGGGACCCAAGCACTTGGGCCATCCTCCACTGCCCTCCCGGGCCACAGAAGGGAGCTAGATTGGAAAAGTTGCAATCGGGACAGAATCCGGCGCCCCAACCGGGACTAGAACCCAGGGTGTCAGCGCCGCAAGCGGATTAACCAAGTGAGCCGTGGCGCCGCCCAAGGACTGTGTTGTTGTTATTAAGCAGTATTATTCAGACACATACTTGGGGCTACAACTCATACCCCAAGAGTTATCTGGGTGTAGAACTTTTTTACAATGATGCTAATAAATAGCATCTTCTGTTTAAAAAATTATTTTGAGATAATACAGGAACAACTCATAATACTAAGTTCTCACATATGAATACCTTAATACTATAGTTAACATACATTAGCAAACATAAATCTGTATTTTAGATGACTAGACACCAAGTTTCATTTGCAGATTTTCCAAGGATCTATTAAGAAATTACAGATTAGCTATACATTCCATGTGTATTAGTTTTCCCATTATGTTTTGGAATTCATGGCATCCAATGACAATTCTATAATTCACCTTTCTTGGCCCTACTGCCTACTTAATGATTTCTTACAGTCCAATGGTGATGAGTTGTTCCAAAGCAATTAAGATAGCTCCTACAAAAGTACAGAGGAAAAGATTTAGATACAAAGAAACTATCAGGAAAGATGTATAAATGTTATCAAATCACAGTAGTGGATAACACTTAAAAACTGGAAACTAGGGCTAGGTATTTAGCCTCATGGTTAAGGCAGTCATGTCCCAAATCAAAGTATCTGGGTTTGATTTTTGTTTCAGGCTCCTGACTCTAGCTTCCTGCTAATGCAGACCCTGGGAGGCAGTGGTGATGGCTCAAGTAAATGGGTCCCTGTTGCCAACCTGAAAGAACTCAATCAGGTTCCCAAATCCTGGCTTCAGCCCTGCGCTCAACCCTGACTGCTGCAGGCATTTGGAGAATGAACCAGCAGAGTGGAGCTCTCTTTCTGTGACTCTGTCCCCATCTCTGACTCTCTCTTGCTTGCTGTCTGTCCCTTTCTGTCTCTCTGCCTCTCAAAGTTTTTTAAGAACTAGAAACTATTTCAGAATAAGGAAGGCAATGGAAAGGTCAGACTATCAGCTAATAATGAGAGATTCTTACTATGCAGAAATTTGTCACTTGACTATAAAACCTTGAGGAGCTTGTGGAATTAAAGGAACTTTAATCAATTTTAAAGCCCTCAGATTTAGATTTCATATGGAAATTATTTTAATTTTCAAGTGTTTTTGACCCTTTCCTGGAGTCTGTTTCAGACATAACTAAAATACTACCTTTTAAATCATCATAAGCTGAAGGCTATTCTTTCAAAAGATGTGATGTTCACCATGACTTTATACACATGATTTAGTTAAAACAGTATGGTGCAGCCAGCACCGCGGCTCAATAGGCTAATCCTCCTCCTGCGGCGCCAGCACACCGGGTTCTAGTCCCAGTCAGGGCACCGAATTCTGTCCCAGTTGCCCCTCTTCCAGGCCAGCTCTCTGCTGTGGCCCGGGAAGGCAGTGGAGGATGGCCCAAGTCCTTGGGCCCTGCACCCCATGGGAGACCAGGAGAAGCACCTGGCTCCTGCCTTTGGATCAGCGCAGTGCGCCGGCCGCAGGTGCACCAGCCGCAGCGGCCACTGGAGGGTGAACCAACGGCAAAAGGAAGACCTTTCTCTCTGTCTCTCTCACTGTCCACTCTGCTTGTCAAAAATAAATAAATAAATAAAACAGTTTGGTGCCGACAATTCACCCAATACAAAAGATTCCAACCTTCAGTGCCAGTCAGGAAAGGACCAAAAAGATAACTGCTATCCTTAAAGAATTTCTTGATTAGCATGTAGAAATAACTGGTTATATATAAAACTCAGCTATCCAGAAAAATTCATTCTTCCAGGAATTATAAGAAGTATATACTCTATGTTGCTACAATTAGGATATCTTATTTCCAGAGAAATATTTATGCCTCGATGATGGTCCAATGATCAAAATATCTAAAACATAAATCAGTCTGCACAGTTAGAAGATACAGGAGAATCTTTCAATATTTAAAAAATCGGAAATTATTTTTAAAAGCAGAATACACTAGAAGCAGTAACACTTACAGAAATATAGGCTTTACCTATCTCATCAACCAATACTTGACTTTTTCCTGATGGCTAATCTTACCCTAAGAAATGATCTTTCAGGATCAGTGCAAAAAGAAAACTATCTTAGCTAATAAGAGTATGCCTGGATTTCAGAAACGCGGGAGTTTCTACAGAAAGGGAGACAAAGAGTTTTATCAGCTTAATGTTAGAAAAATCGAGGGGGAATGGGAGGCAAACAGCAAGCAATTATCATCGGAGGTTTCCCTGTTAACAGACTGAGAACCTAGTCCTCTTGGCAAAGGTATAGTAGTTTGATGATACCGTCCATCCAACTGACTCACCCTGCTTTGAATTCATTCTTACCGAGGAGTACTGCCTCAACGTCATCATACAGAAAAGGAAATGTGCTGAAAAGTCCTTTGGAACAATTAAAATTGTGCATCTAAGGTGTAATTGGTCAGTCTGGTTGTGATGACTACCTCGTTGGAGTCTGAAAGTTAAGAGCCATAGCCACTGCTCCTGGGGGTGATTAACTCTGGAAACAGTTTAAAAATGGAGTTTCTGGACTGCAGATTCCCCCGACAGTCCAATTTAACTTCAATAATCTCCTGTCCTCTTTATTCGTGCAGGTTTTGCTAATGTTTCTAACTTTGCTATATGTAGCTTCCTAATTCAACGACTATATGTTGATTTAACATACAGTTTAAAACACACTGAGAAGTTTTTCACAATTATATACCTGTTTTATCTATTATTACTTTCTACTACTTCTGAGAAAAATTTTTACTTCTTAGCATCTCTGGTAAGTATAAAAACATCAGCTCATTTATGTTTGAATTCAAACTTTACTGAAGCACCTAATGGCACACATTACACAAAATGGGTACCTCAATATTACAGCACCAAACTGAGCATGGCCAGCAACAGCGTATTTCTCACTTTTCATTTGATTTTTTTTTAGAATACAGAGAGAAAATGTACTGTAATACTAGCAGTCTCTCCTCCTTTGAAGCTAGAGCTATTTATCATCCTCAAAATGAATGGTTCCTTAAGTATCCATCTCTAACAGAAGACCAGCTATGTCCTCTATCAGTGATCTGCGGGTCACAGAAACATTGAATCCATAGTGGAACCAAAGTGAGAGGCAGTAGACCTTCCCTCTGTGGGCACTCAAAATCCCCTTCTGAAATAATCTCTAAATGTCTTCATCAAATCACTTTTTGACTACGGAATCTTAAGAAAATTCCTAAAACTCTGTATCTCAGTTTCCAAATAAAGCTTCCCTCACAGTCTGAAGGCTCATAAATGAGTTAATATATGTTAAAGACAATAAAATTTCTTAATAAATAATAATCTTAGTTTCTACTGATATTGCCTACTACAAATACTTTAAGGGCATGGAGATAAAACATCACAGTTACACCAAAATTTAACATTTCAAAATCATGTTTAAACAAGAAAAACTGAAAGATAAAATGGTAGGAACGCTGAGAGACCATGCATATAAAAACCAATGTCCAGAGGGGCTTAACATCTACTTGAAAAAACAAGATCTCAGTAGATAAACCACAATTTTTATATTGGTTTATCTATCTACCAAAAATTTACTAAGTACCGATTATGACAGAGTTCTTAGGAACTTACAGTTCAGTAAAAGCAGGTAAATATATTTTTAAATTATATGGGAATCTATAAATGAGGCCAGAAGGGTTGATTATACACAGTGATGTTACATAAGTTTAAACTAACTAGATTATGTGAAATAACTGAACATTCTTCTTAACAATCAACATTCAAATTCAACTACTCATTTTAATACCAAAATT